GAAAGAGTCACTCCATATCTTGTTCTTTATCTGATATTCTTCCTTAAGCATTTCCCACTAGTGTGGATGCAACCCTAATCTAAAGGGGGAGGAAGTAGGGTGAAGTGAGGGGTTGTACAAATGATTAGCTATGTGATGTGATTAAGGCTCTATTAAATCTTAGCTCCGCGTTTCACTATAAATCTATGGCTAGTTTTTGGCCATTTTTGGACATGAGATACAAGGCTTATTCAATCTGTGATCTGACCCAGTATGGTTGTTCTTATAGCCTTATAAATGTATGAGGACAGAAACAAGGAACCGTGAAAGTGCAAGACTATAGGACTGTCACTGAGTAACCAATAACTTGGGATTTTCTTTTTCAGTTTGTCTTTCAGACTCAGTTCAGCCCAAATCCTTGGTCCAGTGTATGGTACTTAAAGGTTTCAAATAAACACCCTAGTTGCAGGAATATATCATCTCTCTCTTCTCCCAAAATAATGTAATTTGTCCAAGACATCCCCGATCTCTTAATCTCTGGGAGCTGGCCTTTTTGGCTTTGATTTGCACTGGACAGCTGCCACAAGTAAAGATACAAAAGTACTAAGTTCTTAATATTAAATTTGCAACTTAAGTTTCTCTTATCCTGACAATGCAAACAAGGTGAAGAAACCTACCAATTTGCCATTCAGTCCAGTAAGAAAAAAATGTATCCTGATCACCAACTAAATTGCCACATAATCACTATGTGCAGGAGGCCCCTACATTTTTGGAAGACACTAATAGACTGCCAGTCAGCTCTCAGCTCTCTGCAGCTAACCAAGGGAAGTGGCTTAGCCCTTCCTTTTTCTGGGCCTGCATTCTCCTCCCTTTTTTTTATTTCTGGACTTTATTTCTTTTCTCTAATTCTGGAGTCCAGAAAATCAGTCTGACCGCTTCCGCAGCGCCTTCAGAAATTCCACAGATTAGGTCCCCAGCTCTCTCCTAAGTAAGAGTTGATATCTTTTTTGCTTCTTGTTGGAGCTAATCACTGGTTGCCACTAGTTGCTAATTAATATTATTTGTGATCACTCTTTTTTTTCCTATAGGTACTTCCAAAATTGGATATGCCTCAGCTGTGCCTTTTTTATATGCAACCCTGCATTCCCTTCATTGTACATTGTGAAATTAATCTGCATATGTAGGGCTTACAGAAAGTACCATTCACCCTAATTTAGGATGTAAGATGATATGAAAATCTATAAAAAGTTTTCTACATAGCGGTGAATTTTTTATAAGATCATTTTGAAAACCATTTATAAGTGTTAAATCTCTGATTGTTATGTTTTAATAGTTTTTCCCTTTTGTTTTCATTTAAATCATAGGAAGCACTAACTTTAATTGAGCAAGCTGAAGCTGAACAAAGTGCCTTGTATCACAGTCTCAAAGAAGCTATGAGCAGCAAGAAAAAAAGCAGGACTCCTCCCCCCCCTCTATTACTTTCTAGATCACATTGCTCCATGACATTTAAACCAGCCCCATTCTCTTCAGATATTCAGGTAATGTTTTTCATGATGACTGCATAAGAAATAATTAAACAATACACAAGAGAGCAAAAGTTGTTTCAACAGTGCTATACCATCACAGTTTTCTCTGTTGTTCTTGAGAAAATTACGTTATTCTGACTTAAGTATGCTTTTTTTTTCCCCTGTGAGTCAATTGTGACTCACTGTTTTGATCTTCACATCTGCATGAAACTTTCTTCATCTCATGCATCATGTTCCTTGGTGTTTCTGTTGTATAACACTTATTTATTCTACTTGTCAAAAGCTCATTCTCTTGCTTAGGGGCTGACATATTCCTAGTTACCCTTTGAAGAGATGCAAGGCTGTTGCATCATGTGATGCAAGAAAGTGCTACACTGAAGCCTCTGTTAATAAAGTGCTGAAATGCCATAGTTCAGGTGGAAATATCTACCTTCTGTTGAACATGTAGAATCGCAGAACTACTCACGGATTCTAGGAGAGTTTTCTAGTCCAGCCTTCTGCTCAAAGTAGTGTTGGCTGTGAGATTAGACCAGGTTGCCCAGGGCTTTATCCAGTCAGTTCTGAAAACCTCCCAAGGATGGAGACTGAACAGCTTCTCTGGGCAACCTGTTCCAACAGGGCAACCTGTTCATGGGGAAAACTTTTTTCCTCATCTACAGTTGGAATGTCTCTTGCTTCAATTTAGGTCTATTGTTTTTCATCCTCCTAGCATGCACTACTGTGAAGAGGCTGGCTACATCTTCTTCATCACTTGCAGGCACTGACAGGCTCCTGGTAGGTCCCCTGAAGCAACCTCTTCTGCAGGATGAATAAGCCCAGCTTTTGCAGCCTCTTCTTGCAGGGCTAGTGCTCCAGCTCCCGACCATCTTGGTGGTCCTCTGCTGTAATCACTCTAGTTGTTGAACATTTCTTGTAAGAATGATGGGGGGCAGGAGGGAAACTGGCTGTGGTATCTAGATGTAGTCCAATGAGTGCTGAGCAGAAAGGGATAATCACGTTCCTCGATCTCCTAACTGTACGTCTGTTAATACAGTTCAAGATGCTTTTAGGCTGCTTTGCTGCCATGGCACACTGCTGGCTGATGTTCAGCTTGCTATTGAACATGACTCCGCAGATCCTTTTAGTGCTGCTCCCCAGCCCATCAGCTGCCAGCCTGTATCCTTGTGAGGGATTCTTCCTTCCCAGGTGCAAGACTTTGCATTTGTCCTTGTTAAATTTAATGAGGTTCCTGTTGGCCCATTCCTCTGGGCTCTCAAGGTCCCTCTGAATAGCAATCAATCCTGCCCTCAGCCATATCAACTGTTTCCCTCAATTTGGCATCATCTGCAAACCTGGTGAGTGTGTGCTCACTTTTTGCCTCAGGTCATTGCCAAAGACATTAAACAGGACAGGTCCCAGGACAGTCCCCTGCAGTGCTCCATTTGTTACCACGCTCCAGGTAGAGCAGAAACCATTAACAACTACTCTATGAGTCTGACCTTCCAACCATTGTTTTACCCATTTATTTGTTCACACCCTGATAATGCATCATCCTAATTTGGATATAAGAATACTGAGAGACAATGTTGAAAAAAGTGCCTTGCTAAGGTTGAGGTAAATGGCATCCACTCCTCTCCCCTCCTCTGCAAATCAAGTAATTTTGTCACAGAGGCCAATCATGGTGGTCAGCCATGATTTGTCCTTGGTAAATCCATGCTGACTGTTGCAAATCACATTATTCTCCTTCATATGTCCAGAAAGGGTTCGAACACACTGAATTACAAAAAATTCACTAGCTGCAATTTTCTCGAGAGAGAAATTTTCCAAGCGATTTTGCAAGCTTCTGCAAAAACCAATGTGTATAAAACCAGTAGAAACTCAAATCTTATTAATAGTGGTAAGAATGTTTCCGTGAACAGTTGTTTTATAACTTGCAGTTTTATTACAGTTTGATTAGTGAATTTCAAAGAAATTAATGAGGGAAGTGTTCTTCCTTTTTAACCCTAATGAACAGAAAATAAAAACAATTCTTTAAAGTCTGGTAGTTCATCTGTTTTAGTAAGTGTTAATACTTCATTTTGTTCTATACAGGAGAGTGAATGTAACATATTGGGCCACTAGATGGTGTAGTGTGCTTATTATTCTTATAATTTGAGCCCAGCTATTCTAGAAGAATTTTTTTTCTAAAGATACGCATAGCTGTTGAGCGGACATGAAAGGTATTTTTTATGAAGAACTTATTAACTGGAAATGGATACCTTGGATTTAATTAGACATATATAGTTCTTGTACTAGAAGTCAAAGTATCTTTAAAATTTCCTGATCTTAAAGTTGCTCATTTGCTGAAAATAATCTCCTCTATTTCAATATCTCTTTCTGAAAAACAGTCAGGATTTGTTGCAAAACAAATCACGTGTTTTACAAGAAAAATGAACATTTTAACTGTACAGAATTTTTATATGTTGAAAAATGACCTCATCTGCCACACCTCAGGCCTGTTTAAATGTCCACTGGAAGTAAATAGACTCAGTATAGTTTTTTGTAGAAGAAATTTAATGCAAGAGAACTTCATCAGATGCATCACTTACTGAAATCCATCTGCCCAGTTCTGCAGAGATGAAATCAAAATTAGTTTCCATGTTTGATCTCACTGGACACGACTGAGCACTGATCCAGGAATGCATGCTCACATTCTTCCTTGGTTAAAGATATTGAAAAGTGTAGATGATAGGCCCAATGAGATTATCAGCAGCTTGATGGCATTAAAAAAAATATTTCAATAGGAACTAGAACATGGCTTATTTAGAAAATATTACTGCATTACTTCGTATCTGCATTTCTGTTGCCTGCTTTTAAGGATCTGTCCTCAAGTAGTCTGCTGAATCAGAACCTGATGTCAGCTTCAGAAGACTACCATTGCAAGGATCAAATAAGGGATCTAGATGACTAAATCTACAGGATGACCTATAGAGTTTATGCTTTGGGACAGGTTTGAGGTATAGGGTAGCTCAAGGTAGGAGATAGGATAATGGAGAGTCAACTGCTTTTATTGCCATTGTAGTATATCTAGTTCTCCAGTTAAATCAATTAATTAATGTTTCTAGTGCAGTTAGACTATACATTTTTATAACTAATTTTTTTTTTCAGAGACTGTTTTCACAAAATTAGTACATTCTACATTAGGCAAAAGTTGGAAATACTATTATTTATCAACTCATTTTGTTCTCATTTTCTTCAAAGGTTTCATGGTACAGTATTTTGGGCTCTGTAGCAGGAAGAAGTAATATGAAAGTAAGGTTAAATAACAATAAACTTCCAAATGCAGGAGAAGAGGTAAGACAGAGGTAAAACTCCTTTAGGTCATTCTCTCTTCGTTTAAAAAAGCCCAACTTTCTAAATGTATACATCTGACATCTTCTTTTAATCAGGTAGCTGGCCAAGCCTTTGACAAACCTTTTTGCCAAACCTTTGTTTTAAGCAATTGAAATTTTGCTAGGTTGAAGGCATACCAAAACCTGAAACAAGTTCTAGGAACCTTTTTTGAATAATGAATTAAATGACTCAAAAGCTTCGTGTTAGACAAGTCTCTGTCCCTTCTGTTATAACTGTTTTTTGAGCGACAGCTAAGAAATACAAAAGGAATAAAAAGTGTATGATGTATTTATAGAGTATGCCCCAGACACTACTCTTTCCAGGGATTCAAAAAAAGAGAGATTCTAAACAGACATAAAATTTAATATTTTTCTTAATTGTGTAACTTATATCAGCTATTTCTTCTTAACAAGACCTTACCTTACTTAATTCTGGCAACATGATAACTTGAACATGAACTCCTTCAATGACCTTCATGTTCAGACATGGTTGACTTCTAGGTTCATGCTCTTTC